CGAATCACCGCCGCCCCCCGCCTTCTAGAATCGCCCATGTGGCCGAGCGTTGTGGCAAAAGCTCTGCCAAGGTATTGGGCCATGTGCTCCCCCAACCGTTGTGGAAACCCTTCGGGGAACACTTGGGGGAGGAAGGCGGGGAATATCAAGAGGAAGCGGAGGAGGAGGAGGAGGAGGAGGAGGAGGAGGAGGAGGAGGAGGAGGAGGAGGAGGAGGAAGAGCAGGGAAGAAGGAGGGCAGGGAGGAGGAGTGAGGAGGGAGGAGGAGGAGAGGTAGGACGGAGGAGGAGGAGGAGGAGGGGAGGGGGTAGGGGAGGAGGGGGAGGAGAGGAGGAGGAGGAGGTGGAGGAGGAGGAGGAGGAGGAGGAGGAGGAGGAGGTGGCATCTTGGGAGCCTCTTGGGACACTCTTGGGGCCTCCTGGGAGCTTCCTGGGAGCCTCTTGGACCTTTGGGGGTTTCTCGGGGGCCTCTTTGGCCGTCTTGGTGGGCTCCTCGCCCATCTGACGCCGTCGGAAGCCGTTGGGGCCTCTCTGGGCCATCTCGTGGCCCTCTTGGGGTGCTCCAGGGCCGTCTTGGAGGCCGTCTTAGGCGTCTTAGAGTCCTCCTGGGCCGTCTTGGGGGCCTCTTGGGCCGTTCTGGGGCCACACTGGAGACCTCTTGGGCGATCTTTGGGGGCTCTTGGGTCGTCTCGGGCCGTCGGAAGGCAGAAAAAAAACACATGCCACAATCCTTCAAAAACTCTTCGGAAATTCAATAATTTTGGCCTTTTCGGGCCTTCCTGGAGGCCCTCTTGGAGGCCTCTTTGGGCCGTCTTGGGCCCCATCTTCGGCCGTCTTGGTGGGCTCCTGGCCGTCGGACGCCGTCGGAAGCCGTTTGGGGGGCCTCTCTGGGCCGACTTGGGGCCCTCTTGGAATGCTCCAGGGCCGTTTTGGGGGCATCTGGGGGCCGTCTTGGGGGCCTCTTGGGCCGTTCTGGGGCCATCTTGGAGGCCTCTTGGGCGATCTTGGGGCGATCTTTCGGTCCTCTTGAGCCGTCGGACGGCTGGAAAATAGCAAAAGCCCCAAAACCTTCAAACTAAGGAAAATCATTAATTTTAGCCACTTAGGGCCCTCGTGGAGGACCTCTTGGAGGCCTCTTGGAGGCCTCTGGGGCCGTCTTGGGCCGTCTTAGGTGTTTCTTATGCGAACTTGGAGGCATCCTTGACTCTCGTGGGCCGTCTTCGAGGCCATCTTGGACCATCTTGGGCGAACCTGGAGGCCATCTTGGGCCATCTTGGCCATCTTGGAGGCCATCTTGGAGCCGTCTGAAGCCGAAAAACCTTATGCAACCACCTTTAGTGCACCCTTCCGGGTGGCCAGTGGGACGGGCCGAAGCCCCATTGGGAGTTGTTTTGGAAAAAGAACCAAAACCAAAAGCGAAAGGATTCAGCACGCCGGACACCCTTGTGATGAATCAACAGGTGGCGGCGGATCGAAGACGCCTACGGCGAATCACCACCGCCCCCTGCCTTTTTGGAAGCGCCTATGTGGCCGAACGTTGAGGCCAGATCTGCCAAGCTATCGGACCGTGTGTTCCCCGAATCGGTTTGGAAAGCCTTCGGGGAACACGTGGGCATCTTGAAGTCATCTTGGCCGTCTGGAGGCCATTTTGACCCTTTCGGGCCTTCTTGGAGGACGTCTTGGAGGGCTCTTGGGCCGTCTTGGAGGCCATCTTGAGCGTCTTGGAAACCTCTTGGGCCGTCTTGGGGGCCTCTTAGGGTCGTGTCTTGGGCGATCTTTCAGCGATCTTTGGGGGCACTTGGGCCGTCTCGGGCCGTCGGAAGGCAGAAAAAAAGCGAATGCCACAATCCTTCAAAAACCCATGGGAAATTCATGATTTTGGCCTTTTCGGGCCTTCCTGGAGGCCCTCTTGGAGGCCTCTTTGGCCGTCTTGGGCCATCTTAGGGCCATGTTCGGCCGTCTTGGTGGGCTCCTGGTCCGTCTGACGCCGTCGGAAGCCGTTTTGGGGGCCTCTCTGGGCCGACTTGGGGCCCTCTTGGAATGCTCCAGGGCCGTCTTGGAGGCCATCTTGGGCGTCGTAAAGGCATCCTGTGCCGTCTTGGGGGCCTCTTGGGGCCGTCTTGGGGCCCTCTTGGGCCGTTCTGGGGCCATCTTGGAGGCCTCTTGGGCGATCTTTCAGCGATCTTTGGGGGCTCTTAGGCCGTCTCGGGCCGTCGGAAGGCCGAAAAAAAACAAATGTCAAAATCCGTCCGAAACCGCAGGGAAATCAAGGTTTTTGGCCTCTTCTGGCCTTCTGGAGGCCCTCTTGGGGGCCTCTTGGGCCATCTTGGGCCAGCTTCGAGCCAACTTCGGCCATCTTGGTGGGTTCCTGGCACGTCTGACGCCGTCGGGAGCCGTCTTGGGGGCCTTTCTGGGCCGACTTGGGGCCCTGTTGCGGCGCTTCGGGGCCGTCTTGGAGGCCATCTTGGGCGTCTTAGAGGCCATCTTGGGCGTGTTGGAGGCCTCTTGGGCCGTCTTGGGGCCCTCTTGGGGCTGTCTTGGAGGCCTCTTGGGCCGTCATGGGGCCCTCTTGGGGGCCTCTTGGGCGATCTTGGGAGCCTCTTGGGCCGTCTTGGGCCGTCGGAAAGCCGAAGAGGCGCAAATGCCAGAATCCTTCAGAAACCTAAGGAAAATCAATGATTTTGGCCTCGTCGGGCCTTCCTGGAGGACCTCTTGCAGACCTCTTGGGCCGTCTTGGAGGCATCTTGGAGGCCTTTTGGACCGTCGTAGACCATCTTGAGGCCATCTTGGGCCGTCTTGGGTGCATCTTGAAGCCATCTCAGCCGTCTTGGAGGCCATCTTGGCCGTCTTGGAGCAACTTGGAGGCCGTCCTGGGACATCTTGGACGTCTTGGAGGCCCTCTTGGGGCCGCCTGGGGCAGGAAAACCGTTTGCCACCGGGTCTTCCGGGTGGCCGGCGAGACGCGCCGGAACCCCATGAGGTTTTTTTTTTTTTTTTTTTTTTTTTTTTTTTTTTTTTTTTTTTTTTTTTTTTTTTTTTTTTTTTTTTTTTTTTTTTTTTTTTTTTTTATACCTAACAGCGTAGACTGATAGGTTTCTAGTTGACTCAAAAGAGCTCACAGATCACTCCACAGGGGGGTCCGGGCAGGCGTTGGGAGTTGCCGGCCGGGCCTGTGCCGGGCTCGTTTTTCACCAACAGTCACACACTTCGTGCTCGTCGACCTCTCAGAACCCCATTCCCAGGCCACATTCTGAATAACCGGATGCAACAGTCACACACTTGGTGCTCTTGACTTCCCAGAACGCCATTCCCGGGCCACATTTTGGAAGCCCGGAGCCAACTGTAGGCCACTTCGTGCTCTTCGACTTCCCAGAACTCCATTCCCGGGCCACATTTTGGATGCCCGGAGCCAACTGTAGGCCACTTCGTGTCTTCGAGTTCCCAGAACTCCATTCCTGGGCATGATTTTGAATGCCCGGAGCCAACTGTAGGCCACTTCGTGCTCTTCGAGTTCCCAGAACTCCATTCCCGGGCCACATTTTGAATGCTGAGGCAGGCTGATGCTGAGGCTGAGGCAGGCTGAGGCTGAGGCCGAGGCTGAAGGCAGACTGAGGCTGAAGGCTGAAGCAGGCTGAGGCTGAGGCAGGCTGAGGCTGAGGCTGAGGCTGAGGCAGGCTGATGCTGAGGCAGGCTGAGGCTGAGGCTGAGGCTGATGCAGGCTGAGGCTGAGGCAGCTGAGGCTGACACCGAGGCTGAAGGCAGACTGAGGCTGAGGCTGAAGCAGGCTGAGGCTGAGGCTGAGGCAGGCTGAGGCTGAGGCAGGCTGAGGCTGAGGCTGAGGCAGGCTGAGGCTGAGGCTGTGACTGTGACTGCCGTTGCCACTGCGACTGTCATCCCGAATGCGACTACGACTGCGAGAACAGCAGAATTCTACAACTGGATTCTCATCTGAATCTTAAGGGGAATGCTTCCAGATATGCTCCTACACATCGCTGTTAGGTTGCTTTGCCGTTTTTTTTTTTTTTTTTTTTTTTTTTGTTGTTTGTAAAAAGAACCAACACCAAGAGCCATGTTGTTCGGCACGCTAGGCACCCCTTTGATCAGTCAAAAGGGGGCGGCGGATCTAGTGGCCTTCGGCCCATCCAGCTACCGGGTTCTGGGTCAGAGTTCTCAGGGACGCTGCTTGGGGTCTCTTCGGGGCTTTCGGGGGCCTCTTGGGGGCAGTTTAGGGGCCTCATGGGGGCCACTTGGGGGCCTCTTGGGGCCTCCTGGGGGCCTCTTTGGGGCCTTTTGGGGGCCTCTTGGGGGCCCCTCAGGGCCGAGGGCTCGAAACTTCCATGCGGGTCACTTATCTAGCTCCGGGGCCTTTTTGGGCCGTCTTGTGCGCCTCGTCGGCCGTCTTGGGGCCCTCTTGGGCCGTCTTGGGGGCCTCTTGGGGGCTTCTTGGGTCGTCAGGTGGCGATCTTTGGGCCTCTTGGGCCGTGTTCGAGGGTCGGAAAGCCGAAAAGGCGAGAAGGCCAATCACCTCCAAAAACCACACGACAAGCAAGGATTTTTGCCTCTTGGGGCTCTCTTGGGACGCCTCTTGGAGCACCCTTGGGGCGTCTTGGGGACGTCTTGGGCCATCTTGAGCGTCTGCCAGCGATCTTTGCGCCTCTCGAGGTACTCTTGGACCATCAGGAGGTCTCCTGGGGCCCTCTGGGCCCGTCCTGGGGCCATCGCGGGCCCCAACACGTCACGCGGGGAGAGGCGGGGAAGCCGCGGCAAGCCCGGGGAGACTTGGCAATTTGGGTTTCGGGCTCCTTGCAGACTCCTCGGGGTTGAGGGCTGAGGTCCTCCTCCTCCTCCTGCTCCTCCTCCTCCTCCTCCTGCTCATGCTCCTCATCCTCACCTTCTCCTCCTCCTCCTCCTGCTCAAGCTCCTCATCCTCACCCTCCTCCTCCTCCTCCTCCTCCTCCTCTTCTGAGGACACGCCCATTCCGTGCCCAGAGGCACGGTGGCGGATGTCAATCACATTCGGAGAGCGACAGGAGGCGGCATTTAGACCATTTGATCGCCCAAGAGAAGAAGGGAGTGACCTGACCAAGGAAGTCCGGTTCAGCACTTGGGCGCACTGGCTGGGATTGCAGGATCCAAACTGGAGGCCCACCCATTTCGAGGCACTTGTCGACTGGTCCAGGACAGCTGGCCTCGTGTGCTGCCAGGGTACCTCTCCTTCGTTCTTCAGGGTGGGCGCGATGCGGGACATGAGCCTATTGGATCAACCGAGGGTGGACGGAAAGGCGCCGCCTGAGAGGCGTGCAGCGAACAAAGCGCGGAACATCGCTGACTCGCAAAAGTGGTTCATGTTCAAAATCGGGCTGCTGAAGCATTTGCCTCAGATTGCCGTGCAGGTCCACCGCTTCTGTCGCAAGTGCGAGGCGGTGGAGAGGGGGAGTCTCGCAGAATATCCCGGCCAGGAAGACATCGCGAAGCTGTTATTTCTGTTCGCAATCGCCGCGCTGACCGTGTCGGACATATACCTGTCCACCTCCAAGGTCCGCAGGGGCGCTGCCCCCCCCTCGCTTTTGGGCCCCGCCGTGCGAGGCCAGAGGCGCTGCCCCCCCTCTCGAAGTGTTCTCTGTCTTCACCAGCGTGCGGGCTGTTTCGGTGGACTCACTCCCCTCGAGTCTTTGTCTTGGCATCACTCGGACGTGTGCAATTTGTCCCGGCGAGGACCATCGAGGAACATCTTGGAGCATCCTGGGTAAAAGTAAACGCACGAAGCCGAGCAACACACGGGGAATGGACGCCCGAGTGGTGGTAAGTTGTTCATGTCCCTCGATGGTTCGGTTCAGCCTGGAAGACTTCCCTTCCTCCCTGGAGGGTTTTGGGAACATTGTGACTTGATGGCCACTTGATCCCAAGAGTGTGCGTAGTTCGCCGCTGTTCAGCGAGCATCTTGCCTCTAGCAACTCGCTTGCTGAGCTGCTGGTCTCCACTTTTGGTTATATCTGGTTGCGCTGCCGCACATCTTCGCCACTGTGCTCGGAGAAGTTATGCCGCCAGGTCGCAGCGATGCGCGGGCGTGGCGTTGCTCGCTGAGCGCGTCGGAGCCCTCATCGGGCCTCTCGGGGGCCTCTTGGGGGCCTCTTGGGGGCCTCTCGGGGGCCTCTTGGGAGCCTCTCGGGGCCTCTTGGAGGCCTCTCGGAAGCTTCTTGGGGCCTCTAGGGGCGTCTTGGGGGCTTCTTGGCCCCTGTGGGCTTCTTGAATGTCTTTGGGCTTCTTGGGAGCCTCTTGGGAGACTGTGTGGGGCCTGTTGGGAGCTTCTTGGGGGCTTCTCGGGGGCCGCTTGGGTCCTCTCGGGGGCTTCGTGGGGGTCTCTTGGAACTTCTTTGGGAGCCTTGGGAGCCTTGGGACCATCTTGAAGGCTTCTTGGGCAGCCTTTGACGCCGTCGAGACCAAAAAGGTGATGATGCTAGAATTGTTGGAAAAGAATTAGGTGCTTGGCGTTTTTAGCCTCCTGGATGCGTCCTCGAAGACCTCTTGGTGTCCTCTTGGGCGTTCTTGGCGGCCTCATGGGCCCGTCTTGCGACCATCGCGGCCGTCTTCGAGGCTATGCTGGCCGTCGTGGAGGCCGTAGAGGGCCATCGCGTCCGGCTTGGAGGCAATAGTCGACGTCTTGGAGTCCGCCTGGGGCCGTCTGGGCCTTCTGGGACATTCTCTTCGAGCCTTCACAGGGGGCGAAGGAGGTGGCGGGCGGGCGCGCGCCCAGGAGTAGGGCGAACTGTGCTGGGGCTTGGCTGAAAGAGTGAAGCCTTGTTGGTCTGAATGCGTCAGGCAGTCCCAACTGCTGCTTCGCAGGAAGCGGCATCAGAGAAGTGAGCAGGGGCCCGACGCACACGCACACACACGCACGACACACACACCACACACACACGCACCCACGCACACACGGACACACAGACAGACAGACAGACACAGACACACAGACACACAGACACACAGTCACACAGACACATACAGACACACATACATACACAGACACACATACACAGACACAGACACAGGCATACACATACACAGACACAGACACACACAGACACACACAGACACACAGACACACACAGACACACACAGACACACGCACACGCGCACGTACACACACACACACGCACACGCGCACGCGCACGCACACGCATACGCACACGCACACGCACGCGCACACACACACACACACACCACACACAGCACACACATACCACGCGCACACGCACACGCACACGCACACGCACACGCGCACACGCGCACACGCACACGCACACGTACACACGCACACACGTACACACGCACGCTTGCACACACGCACACACACATAGCACATAACGCATAACATACAACACGCAGCACACACAACACACATCACACAACACACAGCACAAACCAACCGCTGCAAGCGCGGTGGCGGATCTAGGCCTTGGTAATTGCAGACGAGTCGCTGACGTGGGACCCACTTTGGGTTCAAGGAGGTCTCCGGTTGTTCGAGCCGCTCCTCAGATCCAAGTCGGGGAGCCCACTTGAGGCTCGCCGTTGCCAGACAAGTCCTTTCATACTGTAGCACGAGGACCGCAGCCCGCTTCGCAGCTGTGCCCGGCCAGGGCACCGCACCGATCTAGGGAACATGTTATGTTTTCGCCGCCTTGCGCGGTCACGGGGCTGCACCTTACCTCCGGGAGCGCACATCTCCAGCTGCCCGCGGCAATACTCATCACCGTGCCAGCGCGTCACCTCAACGTACGACAGATGGCTCCCGCAGCAGAAGACCCAACCGCGGCATAAGCGTTAACGTCTGGAGGTCCGCGCGCGTCTCTGAGGCCGGTCCGAATCTGCTCGTGCAGTGCTTTCCGGCTCTCCGGTGATGGTCCCTCGTTTTGAGCATTGCAGGTCCTGCCTGCTTCCTTCCAAGGGGGACCTCCAGGGCACGCTCCCACTTTCCAGCCCTCCTGTGTGGGCCCTTGGTTCCGAAGAGGAGGGGCCAACACAGGAGGGCCTGGAGGGCCCCCTCGGGGGAGGAACAGCTCCTGGAAGGACCAGCAGTGCTCTTCCAGGACCGTGGCTCAAAGTGGTCTCCTGCCTCCTCCCTTCCTCGCGTCTCTCCCTGCCGCGCCGCTGCTCCTCATGTCTCCTCTCCTCCTCCGACGGGTGCTGCCCTTTTGCTGCGACCCTGGGGGGTCAGTGGAGCAGGGGGGCACGCGGGCCCAAACGTGGCGCTTTTTGTGAGCCTTCTCCGACGGCTGGAGTCAGGAGGGGACAAAACATGCAGACACAAGTAGTCGTCGAGTCCCCAGGAAATGAGGGCAACTGTGGGAAGGGGGGGGAAAACGCGCATACGGCATGTACGAACAGGATGGGGGATCCTGGAATTTGTGTACACCTACTCGTGTGTCCCTGGGCCCCTTCACACAGAGGGCCTCTCAGAAGGCTGGGGGGTGGGGTGGGCCTCTGAGAAGCCCCGCGGGCTGCTGACCAGGCCTGCCCCCTCCCTCACTTCCCCTCCTCCCTCCTCCTCCTCCTCCTCCTCCTCCTCCCCCTCCTCCTCCTCCTCCTCCTCCTCCTCCCCCTCCTCCTCCTCCTCCTCCTCCTCCTCCTCCTCCTCCGTAGCCATTTTGGCTCAAGGCTGAGTTCCCCAGAGGAACAAGTGGATACCGCTAGTCCGCGGCTAGACTTCCGAGTTTTCATCGCACCGCTGCGTGAGTCGCCAGGCGACGCAGCTGCTTTTCTGTGCTGGTCAGCCCCAGCACTGGACACCGCCAAGTTGACACCTGCAGTTGCCTTGATGACCCGTCAGAAGTCGGCCAATGGCTCGAAGAATCATAAATCGTCGTACACCACCTGCAGTTCCTGCGGCAGCTGGGCTTGGGATTGGCGTCTTCGGTTGCAGTATGGGAAGTGCAAAGTCTGTGGCTCCCACGTCTCAGGCTTCGAGAATGCGCCTTGGATCCGCTCGGAGCACTCCCGCGCCCCGTGGGCGCACTCTGAGAAGTCCGAGTGGTCGACCCCAGCATGGTCCCCATCTTCCATGGATTGGCCACCGCTCCCGTCCAAGGCCGAGCCCGCTCAGCTCCTGCAACAGTCCCTCAAGATGGCTGGTCTCTCCTCGGACTCTAAGGCGCTGGAGCTCGCTCATCAGTTCGAGGAGGCGGCTGGGCGGGTCAAGCCCAAGCCCAAGGCGAAGTGCCCGTACGTTGTCTTGCGTGAAGCGCTCAGACGCAGGCCAAGCTCGCCAAGGCGTCCAAGCAGCTCCTCTCGGCGGAGGCCTGGCTGGAGGAGTGTAAGGGGCGCCAGCTCGTGGCAGCGGAGGAGCTCTTCGAGGCGGACCAGGCCCGCTTGGTGGCGCAGGAGGCCACGCAGGGCGGGGGCGGTGCAGGCGTCAGAGCTGAAGCTGCTGCCACTGCTGAGGTTTGTGAGGCTACCCCGATCTTCGGAGTTGACCCCCAGCTCTTCCAGGACCTGGACGACTACGAGGAGAAGGGCTAGCAAAAATTGCTGCAGTTCCAGCGGGAGCTCGACGACATCGCCACCCAGGCCAAGGCCCGCGAGCAGCAGTTCAAGGAGCTGCTTGCCTCGGCCAAGCAGGCGCTGCGGGCTCCTCGCAAGAGGCGCCGCGCCGAGGGCGGCCAGGCCAGGGCTGATGAGGCAGAAGGCGCGGCTTCGGATGCAGCTCCTGCCTCGTCTGCGCCCGGGGGCAATGGCAGCGGCGCAGGCTCCCCTGTCCAGCCTTCGGCGGAGGAGCGCGCCAAGCTGGTCGCCTCCATCGCCGCGTCCTCGCGAGAGGCCCAGCGGACCGCTGGGCGAGGGGAGGTCGCCGCTGAAGGTGCTGCACCTGGTCGTGGCGCTCCTGCTGAGCCTGCTGCCGCCCACGGGCGCGGGTAGCACGGGCGCCCCAGTTGGAGATGCCAGGGCGTTTTATTCTAACATTACAGAGTGGGGCCCTCAGGCCCGGCGGTTCCTCACGGAGAAGTTCTATGATTATTCAGTTGTGGCCTTGGTGGGGGCCCATCAAGGGGCTGGCGCCTTGCCGCAGCTGGGGGCCGACCTCGACAAGGACGGATGGCAGTTGAGCTCTATTCCCGCGCGTCCCTCTGGGTGCTCGGAGTCGGGCCTCAGTGGAGGCGAATGGATCCTCACGCGGAAGTTTGTTGCCAGCTCTTCTTTTCAGCGTATGCGTGCGGCCGCCCGTGCTGAAGGCTGCCAGGGCCCCTGCAAAGGGTTCGCCCCGCTCGCCCTGCACTTGAAGACGGGGAACGTTGTGGTGATCGCCGCCTACCTGCAGCCTGGCCTGGAGTTCCGCGGCACCAATAACGACATCATGGTCGCGCTGGCGTCCTTCGCTCGGGCTCTCGCGGACCCGTGGCTGGTTGTCGCTGATTGTAATTGTGAACCGCCCAGTCTCGTTGCCAGCGGCTGGGTTCAGCAGTTGCAGGCGCGGGTGGAGGCCCCGTTGAATTGTAAAGTGACTTGTGATAAGGGCCTAGGCCGCCTGTATGACTATGTGCTT